GCCCGAAGGCTCTTTTGGAAATCTCAGTTTCCAACCTTGTTTAAATGTAAAAACATTTCTTTAAAACTTCTTTGGGAATACATAGTTCCCTAATAACTTTGAGAAAAGAACTCAACTTTAAACTCTTTACTTTACTTGAACTCTTGGCTTGATGTGAGACTCTTAACTTAACATGAAACTCTTAACTTTTGACTTGACTTTAAATTCTTGACTCAACTTGAAACTCTTAACTTAGAACCCTTCATTCTTTACTTAACTTGAGCCTTAAAATGAAGTTAAAACGCTCAATGAAGACTCTTGGAAAACCTTAAAGACTTGTTTTGACTTACTTACTTCTAAGCTTGACTTCACTTGACTTGGAAACTAACTTCACTTGACCTTGACTTTTGGAAGTACCTTGGAGTGTTGGAAACAACTAGGAAACATAGGTATAATACCTAGGAACATGTATGGAAAAAAAAATGGTGAATGAAAGGGAAGGATTGGTGTCCTTGGCACTAGGAGAGGTGCAACAGCCCAGCCCTTTGTTCATCCGACTTTTTCCCCTTGTTTCTTTCCAATTCTAAACCCTCTCAACCTCAAGGTTTCAGCAGCAACACTTAGAATCATAAAGACCCTTATTATACAATAGATTCAACTCAAATACACAGCCCAATCCTGTCCCACAACCAACAATAACTTCAACAACACAACTAACAACATCAACAACAACTAACAAAAGAAGATGATGGGTTGTACTTGCTGTTGAGGAACTTGACACAAGATCACACTCTTGTTGCGTCTGAAAAGAAGTTAGAAGTTCAACAATTGTCAGAAAAAGAAGTGGATGTATGGCACAGGAGGTTAGGACATGGAGCATCACATGTGTTAAGTAAAGTGTTTCGTGTTAATTCAGAAATAATGAACAAAGTGTTGAATGAATGTACTATTTGTCCTAGTGCAAAACAGACCAGAACTGTGTTTCCTATTAGTAGCATTAAAAGTAGTCAAGTTTTTGATTTGATTCATTTGGATGTATGGGGACCATACAAACAGCCTACATTTGATGGTAATAGATTTTTCCTTACAATAGTTGATGATTTCTCAAGAATGACGTGGGTTTTTTTGTTAAAAAATAAGTCAGATGTATGTGTAGCTTTAGGTTATTATCTGAAATTTGTTAAAACACAGTATGACAAAGAGGTAAGAAAGGTTAGATCTGATAATGGAACTGAATTCATGAATTCAGTTTGTGCTGCTTTGTTTAAAGAAAGAGGGATAGTACATCAGAGATCCTGTCCTTATACACCTCAGCAGAATGGGGTGGCTGAAAGAAAGCATAGACACCTCTTGGAATTAACTAGGGCTCTAAGGTTTCAGGGGCATATTCCTTTAAAATATTGGGGTCAGTGTGTGCTTGCAGCTGTCTACCTGATAAATAGGATGCCTAGCAGAGTTCTGGGAGGTAAATCTCCATATGAGAAAATGTATGGAAGCAAGCCAATGTTGTCTCATCTTAGAGTATTAGGTTGCTTATGTTATTCTAAGGTTCTAACTAAGAGTGATAAGTTAGCATCAAGGACAAAGGCAGCAGTACATATGGGATATTCAGAAACTCAGAAGGGTTATATTTTGTTAGATTTGACATCAAGTAATTTCTTTGTGAGTAGAGATGTGGTATTCAAAGAGACAATGTTCCCTTTCATGTCTTCCTTAGGTAAAAGAGAATAGGGTACATTTGTGAGTAGTATGGATGGTACTATGATAAATGGAGAATGGAAGTTATTGTGTGACAACATGATGAATAAACAGAATAGTGAGAATATGTGCTTACAAGAAGAGCAATGTAGTCAGGAGTTGAACAGAAACTTGGATAGCAACATTGAGCAAGAGACAGTGAAAGAAACAGTTCAAGATAATTAGTCTGTTTCTACTGACTCTCAAACAGTGGTGAATAGAAGGTCTACACGAGGAGTACATCCACCAGTTTGGATGAAAGATTGTGTCACTAAATATGGGCAAACAGGTGAAGTATCCTATAGCTGACAGTGTGGCATACAATCACTTGTCTAAATCTTACTAGGAGTTTGTTGCTGCAACTTCTGTTCTAACTGAACCTACATCCTTTGCTGAAGCCAGCAAAGATCCTAAGTGGATTGAAGCAATGCAAGCTGAAATACAGGCTTTACAAGATAACAAAACTTGGAAACTGGTTGATTTGCCAAAAGGGAAGTCTGCTATTGGATGCAGATGGATTTATAAGATTAAATACAAGTCTAATGGAGAAGTAGAAAGGTTTAAAGCAAGACTGGTGGCCAAAGGATATAGCCAAAAGGAAGGTATAGATTACAAAGAAACTTTTTCCCCTGTGGTAAAAATGGTCACAGTGAGAGCTATTTTAGCTTTAGCTATGTCCAAGTGTTGGCATATACATCAAATGGATGTATATAATGCTTTTTTGAATGGTGATTTAGAGGATGAAATATACATGTCTGTGCCTCAAGGTTTTTCCAGCCAGGGGGAGAATGAGTATAAGGTGTGTAGACTGGAAAAATCATTGTATGGGCTTAAACAAGCACCAAGACAGTGGAATCATAAATTTGCAGCAGTTCTACAGAAGCTGGATTTCAATCAAAGTCAGCATGATCACTCTTTATTTACAAGAAGGACTACTGAAGGAACTACAATAATATTAGTGTATGTTGATGATATTTTGGTAACAGGAAGTAGTTTAAAGCTAGTAGAGGAAACAAAAAGGTCCTTACAACTAAGTTTTAAAATGAAGGATCTAGGAGAGTTGAAATATTTTCTTGGAATAGAATTTGTAAGATCAAACAGTGGAATAGTTATGCATCAAAGGAAACATGCACTTCAACTCATTTCAGAAATTGGTTTATCAGGAGCAAAGACTGCTGGAACACCTATGGATGTAAATATGAAGCTGACATCAAGGCAGTATGATGAACAAACTAGACAAAATCAGGAGGAGCCTCTAACAGATCAAGTTACTTATCAAAAGTTGATTGGGAAGTTGCTATATCTAAACATGACAAGGCCTGACATTTCTTTTAGTGTACAAACATTAAGTCGGTTCCTACATCAACCAAAAAAATCTCATATGGATGCAGCACTTAGAGTTGTCAAATACATCAAAAGGCAACCAGGTCAAGGTATATTACTATCCTATAATTGTAGTAGTGAAGTTACAGCTTTCTGTGATGCAGATTGGGCTGCATGCCCCCTTACCAGGAAGTCTATAACTGGATATGTGATTAAACTTGGAGAGTCTTTGATCTCTTGGAAAGCTAAGAAGCAAACCATTGTGTCAAGAAGCTCAGCTGAAGCTGAGTATAGAAGCTTAGCTTCAACTGTGACAGAGTTAGTTTGGTTGGTAGGTATGCTGAAAGAGTTGAAGGCTGAGGTACACTTACCAGTTCAAATATATAGTGATAGCAAGTCTGCTATTCAATTAGCCTCTAATCCAGTTTATCATGAGCGTACTAAAAACATTGAGGTGGACTGTCATTTTATTAGGGAGAAACTTCAAAATGGACTGATCAATATTGTCTATGTTTCAACACAGCATCAACCTGCAGATTTGCTAACTAAAGGCCTCAACAAGCCACAACATGAATATCTATTGTCCAAGCTAGGTGTCTTAAACATATTTGCACCACCTAGCTTGAGGGGGAGTATTGAGGAAGTTAAAAAGAAAGCAAAATGTAAAAGTTAGTAAGGCACATTTTCCAGATGTTAGTTAGAAGATTAGGTAAGTTAGTTACAAATGTGTATATAAATACATATGCTTATTCATTGTAAAATATACTTCAAAGATTATATACTATCTTCATCTTCTACAATTCTAATATCAATCTTGTTTAGTAGTTAATTACTTCATGAACTCACCTCAATATTAACTTATCGAATCTCTTGTTATTTCTCAATAGCTCAATGATAGATCGATCAATTGTTAACTGATTGATCGTACGTAGATCAAAATACTATATGGCACAAGGTGTTGTCTAGTACATAGAGATGGGTGAGGAGATCAAACAATAATTAGAGTTGGTAATGAGCTCAAACAGACTGGAATGTGTATTTACTGTATTATTTGAGTTCTGAATGCATTATAAATTTATTAATTAATGGTATTGGTAGGTAAACAACAATTAGTGCTGTATTAATTAATGATAGTGCTTCATTCCTATTGGATGCTTTAGTAAAAACGACATCAACTTTATTCTAGTCTTTGATGCCTTATTCCTTAAAATCTATATTAAAAAAAGACCTATGATGTAATCATTTATTTTAAAACAAAAAGAAATCCATATCAAATGTGTGACACTAATGATGGAGGGCAGACCGATGAGGGTAGGCCAAAGAAAAAGATTAACATTCATTTAGGCTGGCAAGCATTTTTGTCGTATCACACATCGGAATAGCCCAAATAGGAGAGGAACGTAAACAAAAATGTTACAATTAATACATAACATAGGTTCACTACAATTTTGAGCTCAACGATGGCATATCCCTAAATAGCTTTGACTAAATGGACATGCAATTCTGATTTTTTTAATTATATTTTTTTCCTCGTAAACATGAAAAATCCAACAATTGTGAAAAGCATCAAATTTCTTCAATTCTTACGCAATTTTACCAAATGAGCATCCTAAAGCGCCACATTGATGAATCACACATATCTTCATCTTCCTTTTATAAATAAATTAGTTTCTGGGCATGCAAGTTGCACGTTTGTCCCATGTAATTTTTTGTAGATTTATTTGAATTATGAAAACATGTATGTAATAAGCAATAAAATGCAACAATTATAAATAATCTTTAAAAGTGTGGCACGAAACACCAATGAAGGACGTATTTTAATGTTAAAAATTAATTCCTTTTAATCAACCAACTTTAAATTTTGAACTTTGATTAGTAGTTAGCAAAATCTACAAAAGTCACAAATGGCTAATTTAATCCCAAATAAAACTACAGACATACGGCAGTCAGAAATTCATAAAAAAAATAAATGTATTAAAATCTAATAGAGAGAAAACATTAAAAAAAAAAAAACATACACAATACATGTAACATCTGGCAATTTGAAATATCTATGAAGAGGCTTAGAATTGGAAATAGTCATTTTTTTTTGAAAGAATTAAAAATCTGGAAAATTTGGTTAAGTATGGGAAAAAGTGAGTTTTTGGCCAACTTTGAGTAGTAATAACTCCTAGATCAGGATGATTTAGGTGTAGTTCCAGTTATGTTTGCGAATTTCGTGGAATGGTCTTTCCAATGCCACCAAGTTTGCTCGATTTCGAGTTTGTATGAGTGAGTTATGCCCTTTGGAAGTTGGCAGTTGGCAGGGAAGTCCGTCCGGAAATTTGTAAGGGTATTTTGGTCTTTTCCCTAGCCTTTTCTTTTGGATAAATATTAAGGTGTTAGACTGATTTTAAATCAGTTTTCCTTTTTAAAGTGAGAGTTAGGGTTCTTGATAGAAAAGGAGAGAAGAGGAGAAAGAAGAAGAAAAAGCAACTTCGTAGAAATTGTCGTGGATTTCGTCGGGGGTGATCCCTTTTAAGGTATGTGAGTTCATAGTGTTGGGTTGGTTCTTTCCCCCACACATCAAACTCGTTTTATTTTTGAGAAAAGATTGATTGTGTTTATTGAAGTTGTTGGTTGTGTTTGTTGAAGTTGTTGGTTGTGATTGTGTTGAAGTTCTTGTTGGTTTGGTGGATGTTTCCGGTGGTGTTTTGAGTTGAATCTATTGTATGTTGAGGGTTTTAATGATTCTAAGTTCTTGGGGCTGAATCCATTGAAGTTAAGGTGGTTTAGAGTTGGAAAAATGAGGGAGAAAAGTCAAGTTTTCGGGGAAAAGAGCTAGGGCGTCGCGCCAGCCAGCGCCCCCCAAGAGGGACTCTGAGGTCCAGCCCTTGGGGCGGCGCCCCTAGCAGAGCCCCAACCAGATCCTTCTGACCTTTGAGGTCTGGCGCTCCGCGCCTCTCAAAGCGTCAAGTCTTCCCATTCCTTCCCCACGTTTTCATACATGTTCCTAGGTATTGTACCTATGTTTCATAGTTGTTTCCAACACTCCAAGGTGCGTCTAAACGTCAAGAACTCGTCCATAACATGTGATCAAACACCTTGAATTCATAATTCCAATTCAAGGAGAGTTAGTTTCCAAGTCAAGTGAAGTTAAGAGTTGAGTCTAGAAGTTAAAGAAGTGAGTCAAAGCAAGTCTTTAAAGTTGTTCAAGAGTCTTTATTGAATGTTTTAACTTCATTTTAAGGCTCAAGTTTCAAGTCAAGTAAAGAGTAAAGAGTTTCAAGTTAAGTCAAGAGTTTAAAGTTGAGTTCATTCTCAAAAGTTATTAGGGAAGTATGTATTCCCAAAGAAATTTCTAAATGTTTTTACATTTGAGTAAAAAAGGAACTATGATTCCAAAAGAGCCTTTGGGCTAGTTTTCAAGAAAAAGGAACATCGATTCCAAGTGAGCCTTTGGGCTAGATTTTGAGTAATTATCTCAAACTAAAGAAAGATGTGTTTAAAACACTTATGAGCTAAAGTATTTTGGGAGTAGTATCGAGCACCGAATTGGGGACGCGAGTTCATA